CAAGGCTTGTTGCCCTTCTGTCAGGCAGCTTTCCAGCCACTGCTCACCCAGCATGTAGGGCTGCCTGGGTTGGTTGTGACCAAAATGCAGGATCCGATGCTTGCCCCTGTTGAAACTCATGGAGTTTACCCTGGCCCAACGATCTGGTCTCTCTAGGTTCCTCTGTTGTGCCTTTCTCCCATCTGGCAGATCAACACTGCCTCCCAGCTATAGGTCATGACTGAAGACGTGAAATAGAAGCGTCCCCAGCACCAAGCCCGGGGGGACGGCACTTGTGACTGGCCGTCACGTTTGCCAATCTCCAGTCCACCGGGACATTCCTGGTTAGCCCGGACTGTGGAAGGATGATGGAGAGTGGCTTGGCAAGCACACCCACAAACTCCGTGAGCACTCTTGGGTGCAGTCCATCTGGCCCTGTGGATGTGGGAGTGTCCAGCTTTTGGAGCAGGTCCAAAACCACATCATCGTGGATGATGCAGGGCCTATTCTGTTCCCCATCCCCATCTACCAGCCCCTGGCCGAGCTGACTCTGATCCACATGTGGCTCAGTTGTCACACGCTTGAATGGGTCACATCCATGACCAGCAGGTCACAGTTTGTCTCACCGGTTCACATGGCTTGGGTTTCTGCCCTTTGTCGTTGGCAGTCCTTAGTATTTACCTGCTTGGTGGTGATGCAGAGCTGCATGAGCAGCATGCACAGCTCGCTGATTTCATTGTGCAGGGTGCTGGAAGTTGGAGCTGTGCCACCAGCGTTGTGAGCGGTGTCCTTCATTGCAAAGGCTGGCACGGGCTGGGGTCCACTCCCTGCACTTTGCTGGGCAGGTGAGTCTGCTGGCCTGAAGCCAAATATTATAAAATGCGGCACCTTTGGTCCACCCTTTTCACCTGCAGAGCCTTACCAGCTGCAAGTTGCAGCAAGTAATGCTGTAAACAGTGGAACATTTTGCTCGTTTTGGCTGTTCACTGTGCCAGTTTGGCGGTGAATGGACTTAAATCCATCTGGAAACTGGTCAGGAGCAATGTTCCCTGGGGTCGGTACTGGGGCCCATCCTGTTGAATATCTTTGATGATGATGAGGGTATTGAGTGCACCCTTGGTAACTCTGCAGGTAACTCCAAGTTGAAGGGAAGTATTCAGTTAGTATCCAGTATGCAGTTTTAAAACATAGAAATAATATTGCGCTGTTCTTTCCCACAGAGTCTGGGCTCTCCTTGTTTCATCATTTTGTTCGGTAGCGCAACCAGGTCTTGTGTGTCGCCCACATCAAAGGGGTCATCCATGGCAAAGAATGATCTCTTTATTCTGTGCAGGTCCAGATGTTTTGTTTTGCATTTTCGTTTGCCTGATGGTTTGTCGGCCTCATCCTTTCTTTGCAGCGGCGGTTTGGGTGGGCACTGCTGCTCAGCCGAAGTCAGGGCTGGAGCAGAGCTCAGCTGAGCCTGCTTTCTCCCACTTGCATTGTTGTTTGGAAGACTTTTTGCGGGCAGAGACGCTGGTTGTACAGGCAAGGCTCTGCAGATCTTCTTGGCCTCTGGCAGAGATTCACAAAACTGCTGTCTGTCTGTGAGGTTCTTACACTTCCCATTCACAGGTGGACATGGATGTTGGCTTTTATCTCCCAATGGTTGATCTGCTGTTTTGTATATAGAATGGCTCTTTATATGGCATTTTTCTTTTGATTGCTCTCTTCCCTCTGGAGCCTGGAATCATAGAATCATTGCATTGCTCAGGTTGGAAAATGCCTTAAAGATCATCAAATCCAACCGCAACCTAACCATACTACCCTACCTCTAACAACCCTCGGCTCAGTCATGTCCCTGAGCACCACATCCAAATGGTTTTTAGTCACATCCAGGGATGGTGACTCAACCACCTCCCTGTGGAGCCTATTGCAGTGCTTAACCACCCTTTATGTAAAGTTGATTTTCCTGATATTCAACTTAAACGTCCCCTGGCACGACTTGAGGCCATTTCCCCTCATCCTGTCAGCAGTGAGGAAAGACCAGCCCCTCTCTCTCTGCAGTCACCTTTGAGGTTTTTAAAGAGAGCAATAGGGTCTCCTCTCAGCCTCCTCTTCCCCAGGCTAAACAGCCCCAGTTCCTCTAGTTGCTGCTCGTAGGGCATACTCTCCAAGCCCTTCACCAGCCTTGTTGCCCTTCTTTGGACCTGCTGCAGCACCTCAGTGTCCTTTCTGTACCCAAACAGGTGCCCAAAACTGAACACAGTACTTGAGGTGGGGCCTCACTGGTGCCTTTGTCCTTCTGGGCCACCTGGGCGCTCTGCTGTCTCGTATTCAGCTGACTGTCCATCAGTACAGCAAGGTGCCTTTCCATCAGGCAGCTTTCCAGGCAGTGGGGCTGCCTGGGTTGGTTGTGACCAAAATGCAGGGCCCCACCCTTGGCCCTGTTGAAACTCATAGGGTTTACCCTGGCCCATCGATCCGGTCTCTGCAGGTCCCTCTGTAGTGCCTTTCTCCCCCCTGGCAGATCAGCACTCCCTCCCAACTTGGTGTCGCCTGCAAACTTAGTGAGGGTGCCATTGTGGATGATGCAGGGCCTATTCTGTTCCCCATCCCTATCTACCAGCCCCTGGCCGAGCTGACTCTGATCCACATGTAGCTCAGTTGTCACACGCTTGAATGGGTCACATCCATGACCAGCAGATCACAGTTTGTCTCACCGGTTCACACGGCTTGGGTTTCTGCCCTTTGTCGTTGGCAGTCCTTAGTATTTACCTGCTTGGTGGTGATGCAGAGCCTCATGAGCAGCACGCACAGCTCACTGATCTCCTCGTGCTGGGTGCTGGTCATTGGTGTGGTGCCACCAGCGTGGTGAGCCATGGTTTTCATTCTAAAGGCTGCTTGTTCTATTTTTAGAAGTGGGGCCAAGCAGCAGCAACAAGGCTGGCCTTCGGTGCCCCCTCTTCACCTGCAGAGCCTTACAAGGGCAAGCAGGGAAGAGGTGTGTTTTGGTTTTGAGGGCTGGTTGCCGTGGCCGGGACCCCGGCGTGACATCACTGTGGTGTCGGCAGGGGCAACCCGGTGCGTCGTCCCACCCGTCTCTAACTGCCCTAACTGCCCCCGTCTTGTCTAGCCCCACAAAGTGTCCCGGGCTTATCCCTAGATCTAAGTCCGTGACAGGGGGCACAGGCCCCGGGGAAAGGAGAAAACAACGAAGCTGTACTAACGGCTTGCCGCGCGACCTGGCCGGCCCCGGGCCGCGTGCGCTCCGGGAGAGGGGGAAGGGCAGAGAGCTAGCAGATAGTTTTAACGAAGAGAAAACACAACGGCAGCGATCTGAGGAGGAACGATAATTTATTGAATGTAACCAAATGGAACAAAATGAGAGAGACGAGAGTATGCAAAGTGCGAGTCAAACCACGGCGGTGCGAGGGAAAGCACGTGCTTTGCTCCGCGGCGAGCTGAGACGGCTGAGCCGGGGCAGGAAGGAGAGGCGGACCTGGGGTCCTCCGGAGCTTCACCTCGCTTCCTCTTCCCGCCAGGTCCTGCGGGGATGCCGCCCCTCCCCTCTCCTCAGGATACTCAAACTGCCCATACGAGGCAGTAAATGGGACCAGAACTTTAACTCCCCCTGGTCCACGTGATGTTCTGATGTGGAATACTGACATCAAAAAATCACCAAACCACAACAGTAGGAGATTTGTGTCAGGCTTTACAGTGTCAAAATAAACTTCTGCTGCTGTGGTCTACCACGGCTGGTGTCCTGCGTGTATTTAGAGTGGGGAGGTTCCATAGCTGCTTTTTTTTTTTTTTTTTGGAGACACTCACTGCACTACTTCTGTAGTGTTTGCATCATTTCTGCCTGTTCAGATAGTGACAGAAGCATTTGGTTTGTGTGTTGCACTGGTAGCAATGACTGCAACAAATGGATATTGTGACAAGTTTTGCTTATTACCCATTTCCACTTTTATTCTTTCCTTTTCTAAAACTCTGTTGACTTTTTTGTGTGCTTTTGCACGTGCAGCAGGTATATATTGTTTTTGGCAGGGGTTCTTAATGGTGAGTGAGTATTGCTGTAGTGAGGCCCTATCTGAAGTTCTGTGTCCATGTTTGGGAACCCCAGCACAGGAAAGCTGCAGAGCTGTTGGAAATGGTCCAGAGGAAGGCCACTAAGATGATCAGAGGTCTGGACCTCTCATATGAAGAAGGGTTGAGAGAACTTGGCTTGTTTAGCTTGGGGAAAAAAAGGCTTTGGGGGGAGCTCACTGTGGCCTTACAGTACTTGTAGGGAGTGTATAAGCAGGAGGAGGAACAACTGTTTACACTGGTTGATATTGATAGGACAAGAGGGAATGGTTTTAAACTAAGACAGGGGGAGATTTAGGTTAGATATTTGGATGAATTTTTTCACACAGAGGGTGGTGACGCTCTGGAACAGGTTTTGCAGAGTGGTTGTGGATGCCCCATCCCTGGAGGCACTGAAGGCCGATGTGGTTGTGGCTCTGGGCCGCCTGGTCTGGTGGTTGGCAACCTTCCCCACAGCAGGGGATTGTTGAGGTCCTTTTCAACCCAGGCCATTCTATGATTCTGTGAAATCATGACCACAGCAGCTAGTGCTCTGAATAGGGATTGATATTTATAAAGCACTTTAGTGAGGTATGTTGATCCTAAATGGGGAAACCATTTGAACATGGACATGAAAATGTACATAGATAGTTTCTTGTGTTTTTACACCTAGCTAAAAGATGAATCTTTTCTTTCTGTAATGTATGAACTTGCTTTCATCAGCCAACTCCATAATACACAGCTGTCAGTTGCAAGCTGTGTTGAGATTCTGCTAGTCATTTGATTTTTATCTGGACAGAACATTTTTAATATCGCCTGTGATTTTGTTCTAGATAACACACAGTACAGTTCTATTGTATGCATATCATAATTTCTGTGTGGGCTTTTTTTTTTTTTTCAGTAAATTTATTTATTTGTTTGTTTAATTTTTAAGAAAAATGTGCTCTTATTTTCTTTGCCCTTTATCTCTCCAGTGCATAGTTTGGGACTGGGATTCCAATGGAAAACATGACTTTATTGGAGAATTTAGCTCAACTTTCAAGGAAATGCGAGGGGCTATGGAAGGGAGACAGGTAGGTGGAAACCACTCAAGCACTGTCAGTATATAAGCTTTGAGCATCAATGTTCCTGATGCATTTCTTATGCAAATTAAAATGCCTCTTTTTTTTTTTTTTCTTGGAAGTGTATTTGTTCTGTTTATCTCCTGTATATTTTACTGTTATTACATGATAATCCAAAAATGCAGAAAGCAGCCGATCTTGTAGCTCTGTATCTCAAATGATGAGACTTTCTGAAGTTCATACTTCACAGGTATTTCTGCAAATATTTGTTTTGTTTGATCCTAGCACATAGTTTCTATTGGATGCTTTGCTGTTATGCTAAAGCATAGGCACAAGGTACTCAAAGAATTCCCCAGCTGGCCTCTAGTCCTTTATTGGATGAGGGTCATTCTCCAGTTTTCTCCATTTTTCTTTATTTCTCATGTGCTGCATGATTTGGTACCAGCTCTAACTTGATCCCATCAGGATGGACCTAATTTATTTCTTAAATGTCTCATAAATTACAGTCCTAAGGGAAAATAAAAGTGTTAGCTTATTAATAATTTCCCTTCTTTATGTCAGCCAGATCTTTTAAAATTGAAGTTGATGGTAATTATTGAATACGATAAATGATTTGGCATATGTAATTCCAGAAATTGTTTTTTCTTATTGCTTAACCCTGAAGGTGTTTTGAAAAATTTTCTGTGGGGAAATTTAAAATGTTGTCTTTCTAATCTACTCCTATTTGCAGTCACTGCTTCATGGTGATCTCAAAACTAAACACCAATAAACTTCGTCTGGGCTTCGCATTATATAGCAAAGGGTCAGAAAGTGTTTGGTAGGTGTTGTAGTCAGGCTGTTCCTTAGGTCAAGAAATGCTAGTTGTTCTAGTTGTCTTTTGTTGATGTTTGGAAGTTTTAGCATGTATTATTTATGTGTGTAAAATACCACTGGTACATTTATCAGTCATATATTTACCTGTTATAAATAAGTTAATATAATCACAGAATCACAGAATCACAGAGTCACCCAGGTTGGAAGGGACCTCAAGGATCATGTAGTTCCAACCCCCCTGCCTAGCAGGGCCACCAAACATACACATTTAGATCAGGTTGCCCAGGACCCCGTCCAACCTGGCCTTAAACACGTCCAAGGAAGGTTAATTATTTCCAGAGAGAATAACATTAACAATAACAGTGTTATGACAGCACCTTGATTTTGAATGCAAGTGGCTGTGGCTGGAAAATAAACAATGTGAAAGTGGTAAAATGTGCATATTTCCAATGTAAACATTTTCAAAACAGCATTGCAGTCCTTTCCAAATGGCCAAGACAAGAGATTTTCCATCCAGAGCACCAGGAATGTCTGTGAAAGGTGATCTATACATTTTTTTATTCTGATGTGGAAGCAATGGACTCTTCATCCCCCAGTAGCAAAAAGAATGGTTACTCAGGCAGAAGCATGAGAAGTTGGTATAGTCATTGGTCAGTTCTTATTCTAATCTTCATAAGTTCACAGAGTAGTACTAGAGAGTGGACCAGGGATACTTTAATGTAGCACAGTGCTGTTAAGTGCCTGAATCTTTGCATTGCTAAGAGCCTGCCATTTGTCATTCTGCAGGCTGCCTTTTACGTCTAACATTACGTCTGCTTTTTGTGGCAGATGTGCACAGTTTCTCCTCCAGAGTCCTAAGCTGTTCCAACATTATTTCTCCCTTGGTGCTCTTATTCTGTGTTTACTGCAGTTACTCTATGGGCTTATACCTTCAAAACCTGATACTGTTATAGATGGGGCACAATTGTCACTAGCGTGAAACTCAGACCTTCTGTCCACATCTCTTTTTTAACCCTGTTTTGTAGTCTATTATGGAAGAAAACAAGATTTAGTGGATAAGGTAGTAAGCTATAGCCATTTAAAAATGGGTATAACATAATGTATAAAAACATATATTATGTATTTTATTATATATTGTATAAAAATGCCCCAAAGAATATGCATACATGTTCCAGATGGTTCTTGGCACCTGATGAAAGTGAGCTTCATTCAGCACTAATATCACAGTAGTCATGAACAAGCAGTAGACAGTCTGAGCAGGTCCTGATGAAAACAGTATAGTTATTTTGGAGAAGGTACTGTGAATCATTTGTTGTATCAGAAAAGTACTTTGTTTAGTAGACCATGTCACTTGTCTTCCTGGCTGGCCAATGGAGAGCAATTACCATACTTCTTTTTTTTTATCCCCTTTCTTTCTGTCCTTCCTTCCCTCTTTCTCTCTCCTTTTTTTTCTATTCTTCAGAAGTAACTGCTGCTGCTAAAGGCAGTATATGCTATTGGTTGTGGGCCCCATAAATGCATGCATTTGTCTCAGCATCCTTTGTGCAACATGACATAATCAGCCACATCAAGGAAATGTAATTATACGTGGGTGAGGAGATGAGTAGTTAGTCTTTCTTAGAAGAGATTTTAGAAGAGATTTTTTCATAGCCTCTGAAATAGACATTTCTAAGTCTTCTGTTCAGCATCTCCTACCATTCCAAAATTGATTGGTTACTCCTTCACAAACTTGGCATGAGAAAACACAGTAAGAAGTCCGTTACTTTTTGTGACAGTATTTTTTAAGTGAAATACTTAAAGTTTATTGTATGCCTAGGTTTATTTCCAAATATATGTACTATAGTTTTTTGTTTTTTAATGTGTATGTACTGGCAGTTTTATAATATTAATTTGCCAAACATTGTAAAACAAGGCAAGAAAAGCTTTATAAAAATTTAAAGGCTGTTAAAGCTGTTCATAATTTAAAGGAAAAATCATCTGTGAATGAAAAAAACCATAGGGATTTGTAGAAAAAAAAGTTGCAGAAAAAGAAACCACCTGGATCCTCATGCAATACAGGAGTTACATAAGTGAAAAATCTGTTCCTGTATTACAAAAAATAAGGATGCATCTATGTATGCATGCACACACAAAGGGAAAAAGAAACCCTGCTGTGCTTACCATCTCTACTGCTATTCCACAAAGATGATGGAGGGCTGCAGCACCTCTCCTATAAAGAAAAGGAGAGGGAGCTGGGGTTGTTATAGTTTGGAAAAGACTCTGAGATTTCATTGTTGCTCCTCCAGTACTTCAAGAGAGCTTTTAATGAGGAGGAAGACTGACTGTTACACGATCTGATAGTGCCAGGACAAGGGAGAATGATTTTAAACTAAGTGAGGGGAAATGTAGGTTAGATGTTAGGAATAAACATCTCAGAAGATGTTGAAACACTGGAACAAGTTGCCCGGGGAAGCTGTGGATGACCCGTCCCTGGAGGCATTCAAGGCCAGATTAGATGGGGAGGCTTGGAAGAGGGTGCAGTGATGTGAGACATCTGCCATGTCCTTGTGGTTAGTACAGCAGTGATGGCACCTCAGGAATGTGAGTGAGGCTAGGCCTTTGCTGAGGAAACAAAAACATTCTGGTTTTCACTTAGTTCCCCAGCTGCAAGTTTTCATAGGAAACCTCTGATACTGGTTAAAAACAGGTCATCTCCCGTGATGATTACCATTCTGAGTCAGAAAGGGAAAAAATAAAAACATCCAGTCTTCTTCTGTAGACCGGTGGCAGGAATGAATTAGCATTTCAGGCAGGAGTTGTAGTTTGCTTACAAGTGACTTGCTTTTCTTGAGGCATCGGAAAAAGATAATGCAGGATATAATGCCGCCTACTATTGATATTTTTATTTTTTGCCCTGTCCATTAGAGTGTGCCTCCTTTGTCATTTACAAGCTGTGCAATTTGTTGCAAGAGCAGTATATGAAAAAAACAAGGGATAACTGAAAGAATTAACAGGGAGATCAGAAAATATGCTGATGTTAACCAAAGCTCTGCTATAGCACTCTAGTTCTTTCCTCATGGCCCACTTGATCTCCTGATGTGGAATTACAGTGTACAAGAGAAAACAGCTGCTCTGTATCATGATTTCTCTTGCCATGGGGTACATGAAGCCTTCCTGACATCTTCGTTTCTCTGAACAGCTTGTGCTGCCCAAATAAAATGTTTACCTGCATTTAATCACCACTGCTTCCCTTCACTGGTGTGCAGAATGGGTGATTGCATCATTGACTTCTCTTCTGAGGGTTTAGTAAGATAATGGATGAAGATGCTTGGGAAAGCATCATCCTTAACTACAGGGAGCAACGTCACCCATTGAGAGGTCTGTGTCCTCATTACATCAAAGAGAGGATTAGGCCCATCCACATCTCAGTATTAGTTTGCTGATTTTCACTGAAGAATAGATGGGTGGAGTTTGTTTTACATGCAGAAATTCTTCACACAGTGGTTTAAGTGTCATGGTATGAAGGAAACACCAAAGTAGTATAGTATAGGGTTTCATTACCAGCATTTGAAACAATACTTATATTAAATTAATGGGAGATATTTAAGACCAGATAGTTTCTGTTTCAGATTTACTGTGGTGTTTGACAGGGAAAGAGCCTGTATAGCTCCTAGCTGGCAAGCATTTGGAGGAAATGTTAAGTGACTTTCAGGAGATGAATCTGAGTTTCACAATATTTACCATTAGTGTCAGATTGCAGACTACTGCATTGTTTTCCATTCAGCTGAAAAGTTAATTTAAGAGACAAAAATGAATCAATTAAAAACAGTGTCAGATACCAAATCAATACAGGGAATCTAGGAACAGACTGGAAATTGATCCTGTCCTCACAGTACAAGCAAAAATATTTCAAAATTGTTTTGCATTTTTAATTACCTGCTTAGAGTTGGTTAATGAATTCCAATCCTTTTGGAAGAGCTGGAGATGTGACAAGGTCTGGTCAGGGCATTTCCTTCAAATGATACATGTCACATCTTCAGCTTGAACTGTGGGAATGGCCAAAGTCGGAGTCACGTCTTGATGGTTAGTAAAGGTAAGAGAGTTTCATGTAGAAGCCTACCCATGAACTGGGGAGGGATTTCTCCCTCCTCTCTCCTTCCCTTCCCTTTGTAATAGCACCATATCAAAGGATTGAATAGTTGTAAATTATTTCTTTTTTTCTGTGTCTTCAAAAAAACCAACATTTCTATGAATTTGCTAGTCAGTTCTGTTTCTTTCCTAGGGTTTATACAGGCCGAGTATTCTTTAAACACACACACTGAAAGGTGCTCCTGTTAGAGAATGATAAAATTAAGGAAGTATACGTAGGATATTCAGGGGAAAGCCATGACGTCTCTCCAGCGCAGTTAAAAGTGAAAGGGAGGAAAACAATCCTGACTCCTATTTATTCTCTTTATTCACTATATTACAAGTTCTTTATAACATAGAGACAGCACAGTTTTTTTGTAGGAATGCTTCCAGTAAGTTTGAGGTAACTGTGTGCTAAACCATCTTGCCAGACAGCAGTGTACCGAGATATGGGCAGTGATTTTGCCTTACTGTCAGATTGCTTTCCTAAATACTGAGCTTGTTGCACTCTTGTGTTGTGTTGCAGTGAGTTCTGTGTAGCTGGAAAGATGTGCTTTCATTCCTTGAGCCTGACTGCTTCTCCTGAGTAGAGAAAAAATGTTTATGGAGGATTTCCCCTGAACATGTGGGCTTGTGTCTGTCTGTCTTCTCAGTTGGAAAATTCATTTCACAAGACAAATAATCGAGCTGTAAGCTAACTAGAAGAGCAAGCAGATGTGCTTCCTGCAGTTGGATCTTTTTTTTTTTTTTTGTCTTTTCTCTTTCTTGGCTCTGCTACATCTCTTCAGAAACAACGATGAAAATACTCATCCTTCTGGGTGCAAAAAAGTCTCATATTGCTCTGGAGCCCTGCATTTTGCATTCCCTGTTTTTGACATTTAAGAGAAGCCCCAAGTTTTAAATACTTCAGAGACATCCAAATAATTGCTGTTAGGCAGTGGTTGGAAGCTCACTGTGGCTGTTCGTAAAATAAAAATGATTTTACATGCTCTCTTTTCTCAGACAAATAAAATAGGGAGGTCTTCACTACAGGCAAAGTATTGTAATGCTTAGGTCTGTTTCATTTCCCAAGTATAACAGGGAATTTTAGGCAGTACAGCATCCTAGTCCCCTTGTAAATATTCTTTGTTTTACCTGGCATCTTGTTAGAGCTCATGCTTTCTCCCAGCGTTTGAAAACAACTCCCTGGAAGACAGTAGGTGTGTTCTTAACCTTATTTAATAACATGGTACGCTTACAAATCTGGATTTAAAAATACAGATGCATACTTGTACGTTTTGATTCTGCATTAATACATGAATAATAATGTAGCAATTAGACTTCAGGGTCTGCAAGTTTGGTCTTATCAACCTGTTTGAAACCAGAGAAGGCAGAACATCTGAACTGATCAGAAGATTTCAAAATATGTTTTTTTTTTGTTTTAATATGTTACGATGGATTATTTTCAGATTTTAAACTGTTGAATCTTTAATTAGCTACTTCTTTCCATGTTTTAGTCATTTTTCTTAACTTTTTGTTTTACCATGAGACTTGAAGGAACTATTATTCTCTTTCAAAAGTGAGTGATACAATGTCTGATCAGAATTTCTCTCATCTTGAGTTTAATAAACACCAGTTATAATATGTAGGCAGTTTTGTAGTTAAAATTGTGCATCAGACTGCTCCCTCAAGTACTTTCAATTTATATTAAGAAGTTCCTCCTTTTTTTCCTGTTCTTCAATAATCTCAAAAGATCCTCAGTCTTCCTCATGTAACACCTGAACCTACTGGTGACACTGGTAGGTGACAACACAAAAATGTGGGTATCTTTCTCAGTTCTGTGTCCACATGCACACATTAGAAGATAGGTGTTTGCCTTGGGGTCTTTTCTGTTAATTCTCTACATATTTTTATTATTCTCTTATTATTATTATTATTATTCTTTCTGTGGAAATCAGACAGTGCCATCTTTGTTAATTATTTGATGCCCACACTAATTTTACTTCATGCAGTGACTTTATTCTCACAGGTACAATGGGAATGCATTAACCCCAAGTACAAAGCAAAGAAGAAGAGTTACAAGAACTCAGGCATTGTCATCCTTAACCAGTGCAAGGTATTTGTGTTTTGTTCATTTTCTGTTTCTTTCCTAAATTCTCAGCAATGTATTTTAATGGTGTTTGAAAATGTAGATAACAAACTGGAACCATGTAGTGAATAGCAATAAAAACTGAGCCACGAAAAAAAAGTGAAGACAAGGACTTGAATCCTAAGCTAACTGTCCTACATGTTCCTCTTTTAATTTCTCTTATCCTGTCCCTACTGGTGTGAGTTGGCAGTACTAAGCTCTTACATCTGTCAGCTTGCTAAATGGCCTTCTATATGTTACCCTTCCAATCCTTCCAACTATCTTTGAATTGCCCTTGCTCCTCCTAAGCTAACAGCAAAATTCCCGTTGACTTCCTGTTGAGAAGGAGAGACCGTTTCGGTTTTTTATATGAATTTACCATTCTGTATTCTTAGAGTAATTGGATATGTTCTCTCTTCATATTTTTGTTATTTCCAACTCCCAGTCTTCCTTCACCTTATTTTCAGTTGATCTCCTTCTTTTAATTTGCTTTGTTCAGGCAGTTCCATGATCTGATGTTTTAGCAGTGCACAGTTAATTTAAGTATTTTGATTTCTTGTCTGCAGATCCACAAGATGCATTCTTTCTTAGATTATATAATGGGAGGCTGCCAAATACAGTTTACAGTAAGTGCTTTAATTCTGCAACTTCTTTTAAAGAAGAGAAATCCTCTTAGATACTGATTCATCGCTTTCCCCAAAAAAAGATTCTTACATGCCATTCTTTTGTAAATTATTAATGTCTTCAAAGATATGTAGTATGCCCAGAAAATAAATATTGGTTAATGTGTCAGGATTTTCTTGCACATACTGATGTACTATATGTTTTACATCAATTACAATTGCATTGCAAAAAATAAAGGTGAGAAGCTAAGTGAGCTTTCAGCATAAATTGAACGCAGCAGTGTTTAAATAGATTTTTATACGTATCTGACTGATAGTATTGCCTCTATTATATTTTATATTGTTTGTCTAAATAATGAGTCTGTTATGTGTTCGCTGCACTAAGTTTTAAGTGAGGTTCCTCATAATTTATCTGAGAAGTTGGGTGTTCCCTTGTAGTGCGTATTGTATTGGCTTGTACTCTGTGCGTTCTAAAGCATTTGCATGTGCTTTGCTTTGGGTTATCTGAGGAGATAGGACAGGGTCATTGAAATGAAGCAAAACAGCTGATAATAAGTTAAATAGATGGATCTGCAAGAATGGGCAGTGAGCATGACAATGAAAAATCCACTATCCTGTGAGTCACAGAAATCCCTAAATTATTACTGACTTCAGCGGTAAGTCTACCAGCTACAGTGTTATTTAAGTCAGCTTTCAGCCTACATGGAATCAGGAGGAGCTGTTATGGATATCTCTGTGCCTATAGCTCTGTTTCTTCATAATGTAGTTCACAAGCTGAATTTTGCATGTTTTACTTCTTTGTCCCTCAGTTGCACCAGTACCCACGATGATAGCATAGACTGCTTGTGAGCCTTGTTACTGTCCCCATAAATATATCAGAGCTTTTCCTGTGGGCACTGAAGCAGAAAGGTGCAACCTGCAGGGAAGATATTCACTGCTCCCTTGCTTTCTGCGTACATTATATGATCTCCTTTTTATATAGGCCTGCTTTGGTTAATTCAGACCACTGCAACAGAGTCAACTTATTCCTTCCACCTTCTCAGATTTCCATTTCTTTTGTTTGGAATCGTACATTGGATCTGGAATTTATTACAACTGTCATAGCACTTCTGTTGTTGCTGTTGCCTTAATGTTAATGACATTTCTAAAGAGTTCATGCCATGTACAGGCAGCACAATGCTGCTGGGATGTAGAAGGACACTTGTTTAGGGAGGGAAATGGGGATGCTAAGCATAGATTTTGTAACAAAAAAAACCAAACCTGTAGTATGATGTACCTGCTAATTTAAGGTAGTAGTGAGGGCTTTGGTAACATCATGCTGTGTGTTTGTGGGGTACTTTGTAGGAATGTAGTTTGTAGTTAGAAAGAATGTCTCTGAAAAATGCAAATAAACTTTCCCTTTGCTTTAAAACCATTTATTAAGAAGCCTTAGTCTGCAGAGATCAGTAGTGCTGATTCCAAGCTGTTACTTTTATGCAGTGGTTATTGCAACACGCCATATCTCCTATCAGACAGTGTTCCCTGCTGCAAAAGAGATGTTCATAAGCTGACAGTGCAAATGGGTCTGTAGTCAGAAGACATTTTCATCACTTTAGGAAATATAGCAGAAAGGATGTGTAACATGCATAAAGGGAACTGTAATAGAAAGATATATTGGAAAGATTCTCTCTTAGAGAGGTCATGGTATCGGACCAGCTGAGTCTTTGCTGACAGATGTAGCAAGAGATCCTGGCTGTGTAGGATGCTTTCAGTGTGTTGAAAATCACGCTTTTAACAACAATGTGGAAAAGAAGTGCAAAGAGTTACTGCTGTGTTATTTTCGTATTTAGATATGGGAAGGTGACTGGTACATTTGAACCAAAATATTTAAAGGTACACCAATAAAAATCAAATGTATCCATTTTAAGAAAGAGTCCTGCTTTGCTGGCCACAAGATGAACTCATTTGTGGGATTAGCCTAGTGAAAACATACTGTTAACGGTTCTACAGGAGTGACCGTTGTTTCTCTGGCATATAGTGAGTTTTTGCATTTCCTATAATCAGGTCAAAAATGTAAGATTAAAATAATACCTGATTCATATTTTTAAGAAAAACTCATGTTGTTAAGAAAACATTTGAACACCTCGGCTAAGATTTAAAAAAGAGAAATATCTATCTTGAAACTAAGCTAATGCATGCTGTTATAGGTGGATTTACCATAGGTTTCACAAGTTGCTGGAGTTTCTTGGTAATTTCTGGCAGCTGTGGCACAGGTAGTTGTGTACATGCAGGCAGGCTGAAACCTGGGGGGGTTTCTCTGAATTTATTCAAGTTAAAAATCAAACTGTTATTTTTTGGAAAAATGTTCTATGTGGAAAACTACCGGACCCACTGCTTCAGTGCATGAGCAATGATGAATAGGGAAGGTGAGGTTTGCAGAGGCAAGCTAGGACTTTCAAAGTTCCTTATGCAGCCCTCAGTAAAGTCCTTCCACATCAACTGCACAGTAAAACTGCAAATTGAACTCAGTGCAATTGTGGCTATTGAAGATGCGGGTATGGCAGGGTTTTGGAGGAAGAGCAAATTGTAATGAGGTTTGTAAATTGTTCCCTCAAGGAGAATACAGTTTTCTTGTTGGTCCTCTTCAGAAATCCTAGAAAGCAGCATCAGAAATTCAGGAAAGGGCTTCCCAATACGTGCTGATCATATCACAGAAAAATACATGCGAGAGTCTATGTTCTGTGGGGAGGATAAAGACTTTTTTAAAAGGGAGAAATTAATTTTTAAAAGATAATTTAATATTTGGTTTTGCACTGAATGTTTCCCACAACTTCCAGTAAGTCTTTTCAGCACGAAGCTCTCTGCAGGACTTAAGCTTTGTTTTTGCCCTGTAGTTCACCTTTAAGCTCACCATCATCTGTGAAATTGGGAGGGTTAATTGCTTAACGCTTAGAAGACACTATGAAGATACAAATTAAATAAAATGAAATAAAAATACACCACACAGACAGTATTTACTGTGAGCACTGCTACAGACAAAATAAGTTTCAAAATCTGTAAGAAATGTCCCTGAAAGGAATTAAGAACTTTAATGTGTGGTTTCAGTAGGATTTTTAACTCTCGAGGGACATTTTTGCTGTGCAGCATTCGTGTCCTGAACATTACCTGAGCTGGAAGAATTTAATTAAATTTGAGAAACTAGAGGTAGTTTGATTCATTTTTATTAGAACATATTTCTCCACGTGGAATAATTATGCAGCTCATTCTTTCCTAATCATGCCATTTTAGTTTTATGAACTCTTATTTTATAAGTTGACGTATTCATTTAGATGTATTTATTGATAGTATCCTAATTCAGATTTGATGAAGTATACTGTTAAATGACCTTTGCTTTAAGTTTGCAGTCTCTGCAGAAAACTCCTTCTGGTAAAGATGCTTGGTTGGTGCAGGTATCCTCGTATCTTCCTGCCCAGAGCAGCACCACAGCACATTGACTTTTCTTCTGTTCCAGGTAGCTATAGATTTCACTGCGTCAAATGGTGATCCTAGGAACAGCTGCTCACTGCACTACATCCACCCCTATCAACCCAATGAGTACTTGAAGGCTTTGGTAGCTGTCGGGGAGATTTGCCAAGACTATGACAGGTAAATAACCACATTTGATAACGAAGTTGTCTTTAGACAGTGTTTTCACAGTGGGGAATCAATGACTGCCTGTTGCCAGCTGCATCAGGTCCGTGTTCAGTCACTTAAAAGAAATGACTACATGACAGAAAGATTAGTGTGTCTTACCACACTGTTGAGAGTGACAGTGGGTTTTGATTAGCTTCATGATAATGAAAGGTCTGGTTCTTGGCTGTTTGGCTGTTACGTGTGCTAAGTTTAAAGTTTGTATTCAGGTGCCAAAATTGCATGTTTTAGTGGATTTTTCTTTAGAATTAAACTTGAAGCCTGTTCTTCAGATGCTGGCAGCATCCTTTCTGATACACTTCGGAGTACAGTTCTATCCCATCCTACAGTAAAGTGTTACCAAGATTTCAGATTTGGAACTGAATTCTTAGTTATTTAAGGTGCTTAATGGTCACGTCTGTCCTTAGAATTAAATGTGTGGTCTTTTTTGTTGTTCTCTTTACCTGCTGAGTGTTGCAGTCTTTTCCAAAATAAATATTACAAGACACTGATAATATGTGCACACAACATGGTATTAAATAAATAAACAAATGCAAGTAATTGGGCCAAACATACTTTAATTACATTATGTACTTATGTTGCTTTCAGATAGGCTGCATGTCTTTATCAAATTAATTGCTCGTTATTAATCTAATTACCACGTGCACTTCCTTTAAATGTTCTTTCTTTGTTGGTGATGCATAGTATCTTACACAGTTATTCTTTTTAATCTCTCCACATGTAATAGCCACCCACCCAATGCTTTGCCATGTGTAAATGCTATATCTCAAAAAAAAAAAAGCTATTTCCAGTCAAATTTGATTGTACTTCTGTATAAATTGTGGAGTGACTTAGTACCCTGGTTTGTATGTGACATGCCACACATGCTGATTATCCTGCTCAGAGGCATTGCCATTTGCACGGTAATGAAAAGCCTTCTCAAAGAACAGTGGGTAGAACCCTACCCTGATACAAGGTCTGTAAGGTTTGATGGTCAAACTTGGTCAACTGGTCTGAGAAAATAAATATTTTTTTGAGAGCTGGTAATTCCAGTGATTGTCCACTAATTTAATAATTATTAACAGTAATGCTATGGATGAATATACTTCAGAATATGCAAAGGTGTAAAGAGCTGGTTCATGCATGCAGATTTTCATTATTTTATCATGTAAGGTGTACTTGTTAAGAAAACAAAAATGAGAAGTGACACAGGCACTTCTGTCTGAATATATTAATCCCAAATCAGGATTCTTCTTCTCCATGTAGTGTATTCCAATCAGTATGAAAAATACTGGCCCTTCTGAATATGAAATCATCAGCTTCATTCAGTTCTATTGTGCTTAAAAAATTCATGTTGCTGGTAATCAGCACAAGTAAGACTATGAGCTATGGACTAGAACTGAACAAAAGCCAGAATTTCTTGTCCCAGTGCCATGTGTTTGACCCATACACTCTCTCAAGTTGCAACACCATACCAGTTTTCTTATGGACAAGTTAATTCAGTGGGGTCAGTGCTTTCTGATAAAGCAAGTGAGGACCTTTTCTTTAGACTTGTATTGAATCCAGTAAACCAAAAATGAAACCTTACAATGATTTCTCTAAAGTGGAAAAATAATTAATAGGAGCAAACCCTCACAGAATAATCTACAGGTTCTGCAGAAGAATTTGTTTTGTGTGTAGTTGCAGCCTTAAGATACACGAGCATATAGTTTCATATCACAGAGTCATTGAATGCTCTGTAAGGTATATCTGCATTTAAAAAAAAAATTAAAGAAATGAGTTTCAAATTCAATTGAAAAGCTGAAATGTATCACAGATCCATAACTGCTCCAGTGAGCTCAGTTATACTTTAAATAGAAGGAAATTTAAGGAAGATTTATGTTCCCATGCTAAGGTCAGGTAGGAGTGAAAAGCATGAACCTAAATGGTGCTTAAAGGAGGAGTGTTCATCATTTGTGCTGGCGCGTCTTCAGTAGGGTTAAAAAATGAGCCTGCAAAGATGGCAGGGCTGTTCCCTGAAGTCTTATTGTTTGTGCCCCGCTATCATTTCAGCCCAAACTATTGAAAATCCTTTCAAACAAAATTTTGTCATAATCTAGGTTTCTGTATGTATCGTATCATCCCTAAGGAGCTAATCCTCCAAATTAAGCACCGCCTCACATTCTTTGATACAGAAATAATCCCTGCTTATCTAAAAACCCACTATCTGTGTGGCTCAGGGACTCCTGAAACAGTTAAATGAATAGTGTCATTCTGCATAGCTAGACATGAAAGACTAACATTCATTCTTTCATCAGCAGCATTCAGAGAATGAGAAATAGGCTTTGATTATTTACCTGATTGTAGAAATGCTGCAGTCATGCAGAAATAGGCTGATCTGATAATGGAAAGGGAAATGTAAAAGCTGTTAACCTGCACAAAAGACTTAATTCTTTTTACATGGTGGAATTATTTCAGGCTAGAACAACAGTTGTCATAAGACAGAAGATAAAGTTTGTACGTGATGTAATCAGTGGCTTAGCAATAGCAAAAATGGATCATAAAGGAAGATCATTACTTTTAAGGAGCTAGGCTGTAAAATATAGCTTGAAATTCTGGAAAGGGAAAAATGCATTAAAAACTTATTATTGAAGCTATTGTGTAAAATAAGTAGACAGCTCCATGGAGAAGAATTTATTTTAAGATAAATTCTTCATGAATGTCTAAAGAGGACCTAATAAAGCAATAAGTGAGACATATACATATCCATTTAAACATTTTCACAAGCATTCTTTCTATAAAAAAATTATATCACTGATATAATTTTGCCTTGAAATTGGGCAGGTCTACTCAGTCTTTTTTGTAGCATAGAGAAACAGATTAAAATGATGAAAAATTATTGGGCACTGACGCATTTGATATCAAAAAGAACTGCTTCTGTCTTAATCTGTATTTATTCTTCACCTAAATGATTTCAGCACTGAGTTCTTTGGATCATAAGTCAAATGAAATGTTTTCTCACTACCAGCAGTATAAGCCTAGCCAGGATTCTGAACTTGACCAAAAGCAAATGTGCATGTGTTTCCTCTATGTGTTTTGAGCAATGAGTTAGCAAGAGTCTATAAGACAGGTGAAGTTACAGCTAGCTCCTCATGTGCTATGATTGCCTTAGGGCTTCTCTTATACCTTTACCAACTCTGCACAGTTGTTTTGGCCAGCTCTTCATTTTGGAGCCCAGTGGAGAACCCTTCAAGAGAATGCAACTCATAAAGCATAGATGATTGCTGTCTTTGAAAGATTCTGACAGGGAATCTCTTGTGTAAGCACATAGAGCTGTCTATCTAGATACAGAAGTATGTGTGTATATACACATATACATGTAGAGCTATTCCCATGTGAAGATGGGGCTCCATTACAGGAAGGACATGGAGCACTTGGTGTGGGTCCAGAGGAGGGTCACTGAGATGATCAGAAGGCTGGAGCATCTCTCCTATGAGGCAAGGTTGAGGGAACTTGTTCATCTTGGAGAAGAGAAGGCTCTGGGGAGACCTCATTGTAGCCTTCCAATATTTGAAAGAGCATATAAACAGGAGGGATAATGCTTACAAGGGTGGATAGTGAAAGGACAAAGTGGAATTGTTCTAAACTGAGACAGGGGAGGCTTAGGTTAGATATTAGAAGGAAGTTTTTCACACAGAGGGTGGTGAGGCACTGGAACAGGTTGCCCAAGGATGCTGTGGATGCCCCATCCCTGGAGGCATTCAAGGCCAGGCTGGATGTGGCTCTGGGCAGCCTGGTCTGCTGGTTGGTGACCCTGCACATAGCAGAGGGTTGAAGCGAGATGATCATTGTGGTCATTTTCAACCTAGGCCATTCTATAATTCTGTGTTTCTATGATATATATATAAGTTAACACTTCACCATGCACTAAAAAAAATTCATGTATTTTTTTGTTATTTCCTAAGTCCCTTTCTGCAGATCAAAGCCATAACTCATGGTAACAACAGTGCACACGGTTTATTAAGATGGCTGGCCCTTTGTTTTGATGGTTTGTTTTGCCAGTGCTGGAATACAACCAGCCAGCCATAAGTATAGCTCATCATTCATTCTGCAGTGATAGCAGTCTCTGGCAAAGGAAAATGGAATGAGGCTAAAAAGAGTTTGTTTATGAGGATAAATGGTGTTACATGCACAGGGTGCTAAGGGCTGAAATACTTCCTCAGTGATGATTCATTATTACAGATTTAAATGATGGTTCCATGCATGAAGCCTGTGACAGGACTTGCATATCTGGTCCTCAGTCTGAAATCTGATTTCTGTAGTTAGTAGCTTTTCTTTCTCTTCTGCTTATTAAGAATCTCATTATATAACATTAAATATTTATCTTTTAAAACCTCTGTCCTGATTCAGCAAGACACTGGAGTTTATTATCTAATCCCATCAAACTCAGCCTGACTCAAACAAACATCGAAGTGTTATGTAAAATAGAGATGGCACTAAGATGGAGTAGGAGTTTTTCTGAATTTGAATTTTCTTGTAAATTGTTCACCCCACACCCATCTGCTAAACTGCTCAGTATTTCCTTTCTACTGAGATTATCTGTGTGATTATTTTTTAAATGCTGTTTTATGTTTCTACATTCATTCACGTGCTGGTTTAATACAAATCACTCACCAGCATAAGAGTTGGCTATTATGTGGTCAGATCAGTTGAAAAAGACAAAAGTTACATGTATTTTTTTCAAATGCTTTAAGCATTTGTTGCATTGGGCATTTCCCATTCTGATCTATACATTCAGCTTATGATTCCAAACATTTGTAAACTGATGCCATAAAATTGGTCCTCATTTTATTTGTATTCTAAATCTAATTAAAAAAATTAATTCTTCAGTCTTAAAAGTACTGCAGTTTTTTATTTGTTTGATTGCTTTTTCTGTTGTTCTTTGCTTGTTTGTTTTTCCAAGAGCCCTTGAAACACATGGAAATTAAATTGCACCT